TCCGCCCATGGTCTAACTTCGTAGTTCAGTCTGACCTCGGAATCACTGTGTAGCCCAGGCTGGTCTCCAACTTGTGATCCTCTTGCCTCAGCATCTCAAGTGCTGGGATTATAAGTGTGTGTCATTATGCTTGGCAAATCAGTCAGTCAGTCAGTCTGTCTGTCTGTCTGTCTGTCTGTCTGTCCGTCTGTCCGTCCGTCTGGCTCTCTCTCTCTCTCTCCCTGCCCCCTCTCTCCAATGTATTTGGAACAGGGTTTCACTACACAGCTTGGGTCTTCCTGTTCTCAGCCTCCTCACCTCCTCAGCCCTGGGATTACGGTGTGTATCAACAGCCCCCCCTCCCCCAGCGTGCCTGACAGTGGGTGGGGCCAACATGGCAGGTGGTACTGGGGAGTGAACCTTGGTCCCTGTACTTGCCTAAGCAGGTGCTCAGTCTGCTATCTCGTCTGGCCCCAAGGTCTGGCCCCAAGTCTCCCTTGTTTTTATGTCAGAAACCCAGGCATTGCTTCCCAAGCTGCAGGCAAGATTTCAGCTGGAGATGTGCATATCTCAAGGCTCTCTTTCTGTTTTCTTTTTTTTTTTTTTTTGCGGTACCGGGAATGGAACTCGGGACCCTGCACTTAGCAGGCAAGCGCTTATTCTACTGAGCTATCTTCCCAGCCCTAATGAATGATTTTCTTTTTCTTTTTTAAGGCTCTCTTTCTGGACTCATGTGTCAGGGTCAGTTTTTCAGATTATTAGAGAGCCTTAGTTCCTAATGAATGTTGTGCAGAGATTTCTCTTGGATCTATGCTGGGTGGACCTCTCCCTAGGGTGGCTCATAGCATAGCAGCTGTCTTCACCAAAGCGAACAAAGCAGGACAGCAGAAGGGTGTAAGCAGTCATTTTGTAATGATCTCTTGGCTTACATTTTTTTTTTTCTTAGAGTTAAATCACTAGGTCCTGCTCCATAGTTAAGGGGAATAGGTTATTAGGAGTCATCTCAGATGCTAATAATTGAGTATACATGTATGGCTTGGGTAATGAGAAATACTAGGTTCTCTGATATTTTAGGGCTTGACTAAGTTTGCTTCTGTCTTTACCCCAACCAGTTTGGTTCAATAATTTTTGTTCTCCGTGATATGCAGAACATCCTTGAAATTCATTCATTCATTTCACTTTCCTCCTGTCCCCAGTCAACATGTAGTTATGCTTCTCTCCCACTTTTTTTTCTTTATCTTTTCTGAACATGGCTTTTCTGTTCTTATAGATAATAAAGCTTTTCCACCACTACTTTGCCAAAGCAAATTGCATTCTAGTACTTTTTGCACTGCCTCTAAGCATCTGCTTACAATTTATTTATTTATTTAGTACAATTTATATTTATTGATCTTTTTTAAAAAATGGGTGGTATTAAAAAATGGGTGGTATTAGTGATATAGTGCAGGGCTTTCACACTGAGCCACCCTCTTAAACTTGTATTTATTCATTCATCTTTTTCAGTTTTGAGACACACTGTCAATGCATTACCCAGGTTGGGCCTGAATTTGCAGTCCTCCTGCCTTAGCTTCCCAGAGTGTTGGGATTATGTTTGTGTGCCATTATACCTACACAGTTTATTTTTATTTATTTATTTATTTTTTGCAGAACCAGGTATTGAACTCAGACCCTTGCACTTGCCAGGGAAGCACTTATTCTACTGAGCCATCTCCCTGGCCCCCACAGTTTATATTGATTGGTACATAATAGTTAGAGACATTATTGATTCTTGTTGAGCTAGAAACTTAAGCTTTTTGATGCATTTTCCTTGAGATTCTCCTTCTTGTTAATATTATCATGAAGTAGAATTTCCACTTTTTAGCAGTTGGCTTCATATTTGCTATATTGTTTCCTGTTGAAAGAATTTACCTTAGGAAGAGCTTTATTATGCACTCACCTGCCTTTTTTTTTTTTTTGAACTCAGGACTTTGTACTTGCCAGGCAAGCACTGTGCAGCTGAGCTATATCCCTGGCCCTCACCTGCTTTTGCTGGCATTGAGCTTTATGACAACCTGACAAGTTATAGCCAGGGGTAACAGGAACCCAGAAATCATTTTTGAAGCCTTAAGCTCAAAGATTGCTGCTTTCAGTTAGCAATTTAACAGTTTATGGACAGACTATTTATATATGAAGTCTAATACTAGAAGTAGAAGCCATTTCTGTTTTGGTTTTTGTTTGGTTGGGGGGAAGTACTGGGAATATTCCCTCGTTTTTTTTTTTTTCTTGGAACCAGGGATCGAACTCAGGCCCTTGGGCTTGCCAGGGAAGCGCTTATTCTACTGAGCCATCTCCCTGGCCCCTTCCCTCAGTTTTGAGTAAATATTTCCCAGCTTTTGTGGAATATGATGAACACTTAAAAAAATTAAAGGCTAAGAGTGGTTTTAGTTACTTTTGCCCTATTTCCACTGTTATATGGAAACATAACCATTAACCAGTAAGGTATACACAGAGGGGTAGTTGATGTAGGCTCCTGTTTGTTCTCATTCTCTTCAAAATAAAAGAAAATAAATTCCGAGCTGAAAAGGGGAAAAAATCCTATTTGTCATCTTCGGTTAAGAATTTCAGAAGCTAAGAAAAAAAAGAAAATTAAAACAGGGACATTCCAATTGTCTCTTGAACAGTATACATCAGTTTGAGCATCACTTCTGGGATTTGAAAGCACCTATGTGTGATGCCACTGAATATGTTTATTGAGAATGTACTGTGAAGCAGACATTGTGCTAGGCACCCATTGACAGTATCTCTTAATTAGCACAACAACCTGAAGGATACTTGCACCATTAGTGAAAAAAGGGAATGAAGCCCAGGGCAGTTCAATAAAATTTCCTAGGTGCTTCACAGTTACCTAGTTTAGAGTTTCTTGCCTCTACTTCTTATCTTTAATCTGGACTGTTTCATCCTTCTTTTACCTCTCCCTTCTTACTTTGACCCACCAAAGTTAATAGACCTCAGAGGAATTGACTGCTGCCTGTTACTGTTGTCCTTTGAGAAAACTTATACATCTGTGCAATTAAATGTCAGATTAAAATGTCTTTTATTGAGGTTTGGTGAGATAGCTCAGCTGACTAAGTGGCTGCGTAGGCAAGCCCAGGAACTGGGGTTGGATCCCCAGTACCACAAGCTGAGATGGCCCCACCCTTAGGCATGCTGAGCCAGCCACTGAGACTGGACGTGGTCATGCACACCTGTAATCCCAGTGCCAGGCAGGCTGAAAACAGGAGGATCGCTATGAGTCTGAGCTGCATAGTGAGACTCTGTACCAAATACATTTTTTTTTTAAAGTCTTGTTATGATACTGTTTGATTAGACAGTAACAAAGTGAAAGATGCATGTGGGAACCACATTGGCCCAGGCAGTAACCCAAGCCTACAAGACAGATTTATAGAACTTTTTAAGAGTGGTTTCTAGGGACTGGGAGATAGCTCAGTAGAATAAGCACTTGCCTGGAAAGCGCAAGGGCCTGAGTTCAATTCTGGGTTTCGCAAAAAAAAAAAAAAAAAAAAAAAGAGTGGTTTCTAATTATTCTAAGAAACCTAGAAATTATGTTTGGGGAACCAGGATTCATTTTATTTGAAATGTATTTTGTAAAGGTGTATAGAGGGTGTATAGAGTCTCACTGTACAGATCAGACTTGTAGTGATCCTCCTCTGTTTTTCAGTCTCCTAAGTGCTGGTATTACAGGTGTGTGCCACCATGCCCACTCTCAATTGCTGTCTCAGCACGCCCCCTGGGGTGGGGCCAGCATGGCATGCAGGGATTGAACCCTGGCCCCTATGCTCTGCCTAGGCAGGTGCTTTAATCTGCTGAGCTGTCTGGCCTGCCCAAACCAGGATTCATTCTAATGGGTAGAGTTTAGCTTTTTTCTTCCTTATCATTAGGTTTTGCACTGTAAGTTGAAAGTTAAACCTTTATTGCAGAGGAGGGAAACAAATGCTTTGTATTTTCTGATGTTTTATTCTGTTCTTCTGAGTTTAGTTCTTTAGTGTGTTCCTTCTTATTTTTAAAAACAGTGGTTAAAAGCGATATCAAACTTTAAACTTTTCTGATAGCAGTTGAAAAGAAAACATAATTAGGAAAATTATGAGGTACATTTTAGTGAATGATACTAGACAACTTTTTTTTTTTTTTTTAATGGCACGGGGGATTGAGCTCAGGACCTTGTGCTTGCCAGGCAAGCACTTATTCTGCTGAGCTATCTCCCTGGCCCCAGTGAATGATACTAGAACCAGGAATGATGGTGTTCTTGTGAAATTTTCCTTTGTAACCCTGATCATTGATGCTTTGATCTTATGTGAAACTGTTGTGTTTGGCTGAAGTACTTAGTGTTTCCTTGGTTGAAACTTAAAGTTCTCATTGATTTAGGGCTATTGATACCTGCATTTCTAAGAAGTCAGAATAATTTTTAAACTCATTTTAATGTTACTTCCAACTACCATTAAAATTAAAAGATTATTTTTCTTCTAATAATAGCTCTTCTATGTTTTCAAAATTTTGGAAGTCTAATGTTGTGGTTGGGAAGTGTTTGTTTAAGAGTCTTATGTATAAAGGAAATGAATTTTCCCTGTAGCATGCAATAGCTGGGGTTCACAGCTCTTTTTATGCTCCAGTACTTACAGTACATCTGTAGGCAGAAGTGGTTGGTATTTTCCTTTTCACCCAGAATCCTCTTAGCATGCAGTTAGTTAATGAGACCAATATTAGTTCCATCCCTCTCCCTTAAAAATCTTGGCATAGTTTAAGAATATTAGATATGTAAGCTGTGCCTTCATTGGATGGTCTGATCAGTGTCCCCCTTTGCCTTAGTCTTCTTTTACCAAATAAATAGTAGTGCTTTGGCCACAGCTGTGTAGTCAGAACACTTCAATTAAAGACATTCAGGGCACGTGAACATCTTCAATACCCTTGTCTAAAAGAAAGTGTTGACTGCTGTACTATCATTCTTTATGAATTCTTTAAAAGCATCTATTATTTTTAATTTGCAGCAGCTCTTGCCAGGTAAAAAGTTTTGGGAAACAGATGAATCCAGCAAAGATGGACCAAAAGGAATATTCCTGGGTGATCAATGGCGAGACAGTGCCTGGGGAACATCAGGTAATCTAGATCTAGCATCTGTACTGTGATTTATGCCTGTCTTAGAGCTCCTTTCCTCAGCATTTGGCAAGTCATGAATTTTTACATCAGTGACATAAGCATGTCAAGCAAATGTCCTGTCCAGTAGTATAATTGCCATTAAGGAGCTTATATGATGTAATATATTAAAACAATTAACACAAAATCAAGTCTTCAGTATTTTCAAGTGCTAGCCACAGAGGAATGGTCTTATTTGAAATGACCATAATTTTAGCTATACCCTTCTGTTCTATACTATTGTCAGCATACTTGGAATTAGAAAATCTATGCCTGCTATTTGAAGTTCATATTTCTTTTTCTCCCCTTGCCCCTCAATACCGTGTATGGGATGATTTATCTTTATATGTACTTGGGGCCAAATGGAGTCAATGGGCAGACATTCTGGCGATAGACTGCCCCTGAGAGGGATAGGGGAGAACATGTAGAGGTAGACACAGCAGCAAGACGAGACAAATTAGAGGGAGGAAGGAGATAGAATACCCCAAAGATGGTGTGCTATGTCACAGCACAGTGTAAGAGTGGAACTTCAAGATGATAGTATCAGAAAAGATTGGATTGCATTTCTGTAAAAGGCCAGTAAGCTCATTTTAATAATACTGCCAGTAAAACATCTTAAAGAAATTCTTCTATTTGAAAGGTCTAAATGTTAATTTATTCATTTAGTTAGATAAACCAGTTACATGAATTGTTGTATTCTCTGCTATGCTGGATAAATGAAGTGTGTTCCATTTCCTTAGTTTATTTGGACTGTCAGGACCTAGTGAAAAATACTGTAGATTTCTGCTCAGAGGAACATGACAGATTTCCTGATTCCCAGTCATTGGATTATCCATGAGACAGGACTCATAATTTGTTTGGGCCTCTGGCTGCACTGTATCATGCTTGTGTATCTTTTTTGTAGATCATTCAGTTTCCCAGCCAATCATGGTGCAGAGAAGACCTGGTCAGAGTTTCCATGTGAACAGTGAGGTCAATTCTGTTCTGTCCCCTCGGTCGGAGAGTGGGGGACTAGGCGTTAGCATGGTGGAGTATGTGTTGAGCTCATCCCCGGGCGATTCCTGTCTAAGAAAAGGAGGATTTGTAAGTTGGCCTGAGGAACTTGTTCCTATCTCTCTTTCTCTTTTTTCCCCTAAAGCAAAATATACCTGTTTCGTTTCCTTAGTTACAGCAAGAACTAAGCATTCCATATTTTTAAGCATTTCCATTGTAAATAGAGCTCAGCAAACATGTTCAACTAAACTTTAAAAATGGAGAAATAGTATTTTTTTGGGACACACTGATAGCTATGTGATGATGTAGGAACTGAAATATAAATCTCAGTTTATTAGTCTTCCAGAAAACATTAGTCTTAGCTTAAAATAAAGATAAAAAACAAAGAGAAGGAATTTAAAAAAGAACGCTGAAGTTGAATGTTAATAGGGAATCTCAGATCTGAGAGCATTTTTCTGTCAGTATCCTTGGTGACCCTAAAATGATCTAGATTAAATCATTCTTGCTTGCAAACTGGACTTTATTATAAATATTGTCTTTGGCCCTCCTTTACTGAATAGCTTTGCCAGCCTATCAGGAAATTACAGAGTTTCTGTTAATTTTTTATCTGTAGGGTTTTTTTTTTTTTTTTTTTTTCCTTTCTTTGTCTTTTTGAGACAGGGTCTTGCTATGCAGCTCAGGCTGGCCTTGGGCTCACTTTGTAGCCCAGGCTATTCTCCTGACTCACAACAATCCTCCTGCCTCAGCATCCTGAGTGCTGGGATTACAGGTGTGCACCACCAGGCCTGGCTGAAGTACTTTTTTTAAGACTCATCGCGACTTACCCCTCTGAGGCTAAGTGATAGCTATAGGCTTTGTCTATAGCTTCTTCCTGTTAAACCTTAGTAGCCTTCCTCAAGAATCACTTGATAGCCTTTCTGAATCTATTTCTTCACTATATATATAACTAAAAGTCTTTTTATGTTACCATTTGATTCTTTCTCATTTTGTGTTTTGTGACTGATTGTACGTTTCAAGTCACAGCTAAGAAGGGCACAAGAGGCATCTCAGATCTATCTTCCTTCTTTCTGTCCTAATGGAATGCATTCTCTACCTTTTTACAGTCCTTTCTTCCTGAAGTCCTTTTTGGCTAATACCCCTTGATGGCAAGAATTTAGGAGAGACTTCCCTAAATCATATTAAAATTTTGCCTCTATGACCATCTCTTATCTTATAGCATGTATTAATTAACATTTTGATTTCCCTGTGTTTGTTGCTAGCTACTGGAGGCTTGGCCTTGTTTTCTCCCCTTTATTTTAAAACGTCTTAGTGTAAGAAGTAGAGTATTTCATTTGGATATAGCTTCCTCAAATATCAAGTATGATTCTTGAGTATTAGCCATTCTGAAGTTAATCTGAGTGCTTCTGGGTCTTTGACCCTTCAAAGACTTAGGTCAGATTTAGTGGCTTGGTGGATCAGATAGAAAAATGGGTTCTTACATTTGAACCTTCCCAAGGGACTGCTTGGGAAGAACAGGATATATCCTTTGGATGTGAGCAGTAGGATCAGTCCAAATAATCATTTGCCTTTTGTCTCATGGGAAGACTGGAGTTACTTCTCTTTTCACCTTATCCTTAGCTCGTCCTGCACTCTCAACCCTTTCCTCACCTATGAGCACAGATTCTTCAGAAGAAGTAGCATCTTCTAAACATTAGCTATGAATTTCATTTATTCACTAGAGGACAAAAAGAGTACTATGTGTTAGTGAATTGCTAGTGTGATGAATTGGAACCTTTGTGCTCTGACTGTACCTTTTCTGACATGTGTGCAGCCACTTTCTATTTTGTGGGGCTTATTTAGGAATCATGTTCCTGGGTATAACTGTGGTGTTTGTAGGAGGAAAAAAAGTCAGTGGAGGTAGGAGGAAGATAAAATGGTGGGACTAAATTATTACTGTATTTACTTATACTTTTCTTTTTACAAGAATTATTCTCTTAAGTCAGTTTTTTATGGTAAAGGCTGTGTCTTTTGGGTTCTTTTTCTTTTGTTTTTGTGAAGTTGGGTTTCCTCTTTAGTTGTCTTGGAAGACTGGCAGTTTTAGCTTTTATAGTACTGTGACCAGAGGAGATTAGATCTCAGAATAGATGAGATCAGGAGATTAGACAATAACAGTTGAGTAATTTACCAAGCTTCTGAGGCATGCATCACAGATAAATGAAAACTCTAAATCTATGTTTTAGCTTCTTGGAAGTTTGTGGTAATAAAATATCCCATATTTTGACTTGAGTTGCATCTATAGAGTGACAAAGGAAAAAAATAGATCAGTGACATCAAGCTATCATGTTACCTGCCATTTGTAACTGCTGATGAGTTTTAGGATTGAATCCTGCTGACCATATACCTAACTGGCTTTGCTTTGGCTGTTGGTTAGGGTAACACCTGACTAAAGCTATATTCACAGAAACCTGAATTACTTTTTAGTTAAGATACACATTTGTCTTCTTTACATAGGTGAACCTTTTCTTTTTAAAAACAAGTGTTCACTCAAAATGTTGTATTCAAAAAAAAATGTTGTATTCAGGTAACAAGGATGATATCGATATCTGGTTATAATTATTGTGAAGAGTAGTACTTGATAGTTGGAGTCTGAGTCTCCAGTTGTTTTATATTTTGTTTGTTGTTTTTCTGAGATAGGGTCTTGCTATCTTGTTTGGGCTGCCTTGAACTCACTTTATAGCCCAGGCTGGCTTTGAATGCTCAGTGTTCCTTTGGCCTCAACCTCCTGAGTGCTGGGATTACAGGTGTGCTTTACTGTCCCTGCTCTTACTTTTGTCTTTTTTTGTGGTAGTGTCTTGCTTTGAGATTAGGCTGGTGTTGAACTCGCCATGTATCCAGGCTGACCTCAAACTCACAGTAATCCTGCTTCAGTCTCTCAAGTGCTGAGATTATAAGCACATGCTACCACACCCATAGTTGCTTTACTTCTTTTGGTGACTTCATCTGTGTGATTTCCAGTAAGTCATGGAGAAGATGTATTCTAATCACTAGAGAGCTGAAAACATTATCTCTGATGGTATAGTGATTTTAGACCTTTTAGTACATACTAAGAAGTCATTCTCAGATATGACAACAAATAATCAATCCATAGTTTGACTTTTCAGGTGATGGGGGTTCGTAACTATAGTAATCTCATTCTGTAATAGTTTTTTATCTTCAAGGAGATTTCCTGGTTACACCTAGCATGATATTATTTACCTCTTTATCAGTCTTCCTTTGATAAAGTGGCCAGGCTAGGCTCAAACTTGAATCCTCCTGCCTTAGCTTCCCAGAGTGCTCTAACCCAGAACTCTCAAAATTCATTTTGGCTTTTTTTTTTTTTTAGATTAGTTTTTTTTTAAATTTTATTTATTTATTTTGTGTGTGTGTATGTGGCCAGCTTAGCCCACCAGGGGGCGGGGCTGGCTGGCATGTGGTGCTGGGGGATTGAACCGTGGTCCCTGTGCTTTGCTTAGTTTAGCTTGTTCTAAGTAGGTGCGTTAGACCACTGAGCCATCTCACCAGCCCCTCAAAATTCATTTTGAAGAATTTTTTTTCTTATTCTTTTATTTATTTGGTATAGTCTCGCTACACAGCTCAGACTCCTAGTGATCCTCATGTCTCAGCCTCCTCAGCACTGAGATTACAGGCATGCACCACCATGCCCAGTTTCAGTGGCTGGCTTGGCATGGCATGTAGTACCAGGTATCGAATCCAGGTCGTTGAGCTTGCCGGGCAGGTTTTTAGGCCACTGAACTATCACCTCAGCCCTTGAATTCATTTTGATTAGACAAAAAGTTTAATAGTTTTAGTTTCTGCAATAAGAACACTTACAGGTTGACAAGAGGAATGTGACAACCATATTTTATTCTTAGCACTTGGTGTAAATTCTTGGTAGCATTCCATATACAAATCCCAACCTTCAAGGTAGTTTGTGAATACGAGAAAATCTAGTAATGCCAATCAAGTCTTTAATTTTCTTTTGTATTGTTCATTTTGTTTGTTTCTGCTTTCAAATCAGATGCAGTTATATATTTTTCAGGCCTGTGTGTGCATCTAAGGACCCCACTACAGTTGATATGGAGTAATAGCAGCTATGTTCTTTAATAGGCTGGAGCCTACACAGTCAGAATAGCAGGTCATAGTTTCTGTCTTGTTGGTTAGGGAATTGAGGAAACTCCTTTAAAAAGTGATTGGGGTTTAGACTATTATAACATTACAGAAATATAGATTATTTTTAGAAGAAATACCTTGTGAAGGTCTTTATGCTTGTTCTGTGTAGAGTGACAGCTTTTGACCTAGAGGAGAAATCATACTGGTAGCAGTTGATTTTTATTACAAAAGTTGTTTTTCTAGGCTTCACTGCATTTATTTTAGGTAACAGGTACTATTTTAATTGATTTAAGAGGGGAAAAAAACCCTTTGAACATTATAATACAGGGAGAAATTACATGTTAGAATCTCAACTGGATTTTAGTTTTCTCATTTGCAAAATGGAAGTCTGATTTTTGTGGCTATGTAAACTATGAAAAGCCTTTGTAAATCACGTAAAGGGTGCTTTCACACAGTCAGTGTACCACTAGCATTTCCTTTGCCTGGGAGCTTATGAGAAATGCCCCTTCTAGATTACAGAAGCAAAATCTACATTCCTGTACAGTTTGTTTCCTTCTCTTCCTCTGTCTTTCCCTCCCTTTCTTCCTTCCCCCTCCTTTTCCTCTCTCCCCCTCCCTCCCTCCCTCCCTCCCTCCCTCCTTCCTTTCTCTTTTCTTTTCTTTTCTTTTCTTTTCTTTTCTTTTCTTTTCTTTTCTTTTCTTTTCTTTTCTTTTCTTTTTCTAGACAGGATTTCGTTGTACAGTTAAGGCTGGCTTTGAACTCACTTTGTAACCCAGGCTGGCCTTCAAACTCGCAAAGATCCTCCCTCTTCTCAAGTGCTGGGATTACAGGTATATGCCACCACACCCAGCTTCATGATTAAAGCTTTATAAGTTTTCTTTCTGTATTAAAGCTTTATAAGTTTTGCAATCAGATAATTTCCTCAGAATGCAGAATTATCAGGATGCTCTTAGAAACTCATA